GGTCTCTTTAGGGTATATTCCCAGTAGTGGAATTGCTGGGTCAAATGGTATCTTTATTTGCAACTTTTTGAGAAAGCGCCACAATGCTTTCCACTGTGGTTGCACCATTTTACACTCCCACCAACAGTGAATCAGGGTTCCAGTCTCTCCACAACCTCACCAGCATTTGTTGCTAGAGCATGTTTTTTTTGTTGTCTCTTTCTCAATATTTAAAAATTCAGTTTTTATATTCTTAAAATTTTTGCTTTTAGAAATTTAAAGTGAGTATTCCAGAATAGTTATGCTTTTATACTGTTCTTGAAAGCAGCGAAAGATTAAAACCTAATAGGTCATTACTTCTCTTAAAAATTATATTGTGGAGAGCTCTGGTGGCCTAGTGGCAAGAAGCTGCAACTACAGTCTCAGAGGTGCACAGTTCAAATCCACCAGGTGCTCTGCTGGATCTGATTTGACAGTACACACAAAAAATAATGAAATAAAATAAATTAAAAAAAAAATTACATTGTAAGATAATACTGGAACAAAGAAACATGTCAATATGTGGAATATAAGTTATGAAGTGAAAAAAGAATGTTGTAAAACAAAATGAATTCTATATATATATAGGTATGGAGTTCTGTACGGACGGTACTACTACAAGTAAGGATGTTATGACTTTGTTTCACTTATCTTCAGCATGTTAACAGGAGGAGTTAGCTCTTGGGAAAGGACATGATGAGAGAAAGCAGACTGTCGTGCGGAAGACGAAGATCCTCGATGAAATACAAACACAGTGATTGCAACCTTGGGCTTGGGCACAGCAGAGATTATGAAGATGGCAATGCTTCAGGGAGGGATGGGTTGCTGTACAGAGTTGCTATGATTCTCTTACACAAAACAACAAGGGGTTTTCCTGAAGAGCCTCTATTTAGATATGGACCTCAGGTCTCTCACTTAGCAGACATTTACACCAGCTGAGGCTTTGATGAAATAGACATTCCTCTGGTCCTCTCTGCTTTCAGTCAAGATCCATTTGGCATTAGCTATAATATCTGTAGTACCATGGACTCTTCTAAACCCAGTCTGCACCTCAGGAAGTTCTCTGTTGATTTGCTGTTCTAGCTGTTGTCTGTGTAGATCACAACAAACTGTGGCTGACTCAGAAGAACAGGAATCCCAGAACACTTGATTGTGTTTATGTGAAACCTATACTTGGACCAGGAGGCAGTTGTCAGAACAAAGCATGGTTAAAAATTGGGAAGGGTGTGTGTCAAGAACGTGTCCTATCTCCATACTTTTTCAATCTATACGGGGAACAAATTATCCAGGAAGCTGGGCTCTATGAGGAGAAATGTGGCATCAGGATTGGAGGAAGACTCAACAACCTGTGTTATGCAGATAACACAACCCTGCTTGCTGAAACTAAGGAGGCCCTGAAGTGCTTGCTGCAGAAGGTCAAGGACTGCAGTCTTCACTATGGGTTGAAGCTCAACATTAAGAAAACAAAGATTCTCACAACTGGGCCAACTGGCAGCATCATGATAGATGAAGAGATTGAGATTGTTAATAGCTTCTGTTTGCTTGGCTCTACAATCAACACTCTTGGTACCAGCAGCCAGGAAATTAAAAGATGAATTGCATTGGGAAAATCTGCTGTAAGAGATCTCTCCAAGGTACTGAAGAGCAATGATGTCAGTCTGGAGACTAAACTGCGCCTGATATAGGACATGGTCTTTGCAATTACTTGCTTTGCATCGGAAAGTTGGACTACGGCTAGGGATGAGAGAAGGAGAATTGATGCTTTTGAGCTGTGGTGCTGGAGAAGGAGTATTGAATATACAATGGACTGCAAAGAGAACAAAAAAGGAGAGGGTGAAGCCAGGCTGCTCCTTGGAGGCAGGGATTCTGAAGCTTTGTCTGACATACTTTGGAGAGGGACATTATGCTTGGGAGCATGGAGGGACAGTGCATGAGAGGAAGACCCTCAATGAGATGCATAGATTCAGTGACTGGGGTAATGGGGGTAGGTGCATCAGAGACAATCAGATTGGCAAGGGATAGAGGAGGGTTTAGGGCTATTATACAAAGGGTCGCTATGAGTTGCAGGCAACTTGATGGCTCATAACAACAATAACAGAGGCTTGAAAGAATGAATGGTTGCTGTTAGAGCTATAAGGCTGTTCTTACCTCTGTCTGTACTCGGAGCTGATTTGAAAGACCTTCTTTGTCATGTAATAACTTCTTTTCAGAATTCTTAAGCTTTTCTAATACACTCTTTACTTCAGCTAGTTCTTTCTTAGGATTGACACCTCCGTCTGATTGACCAAGGGATTCTCCTTTATGTCCCAGAGTTTTAACCTTTGCATTTTTGTTAGGAGTATTATGAGTTATAGCAGCTTTGGGGACTAATATTCTTATAGCCTCAACTTCTACTGACTTTTCAGTGACAATCTGCCCTAGCTGAAGAAAACCTGGGCTCTCTGATACAACTGCTGTCTTCCGTGGACTCTGATGGATGTGATGCTTTACAGACTGGACGCCCGGAGTGACTTCAACCGATTTAGGTGGCTCTTCAGTTTCCATTCCATCTCCTGCTCCTCGAACTGGGGTAGAAGGAAGGGTAGCTAAAAAGAAAACAAAACAGGTACCAACTGAAAAGAAATGTGTGAAGACATGCTTTGCCCTGTATCAGAATTAATGGCACTAACATGAACAAAAAAGTTCAGAGTATACAAGCATCATCTAAAGATAGTCTAAAAGATCTCAAGTAAATGATTTATTAGTAAAAATTATGAGAGTAAGACAGAGGATTTAGCTCAAATCATGACTTCTACTTTCTAGTATGACCTTGGGTACATTATTTAACCCACATGAACGTTCACTTTCCAATTTTAAAAACTGATATAGTGACAACAATACTACAGGGTGGTCATAAGAAAAAAAAAAGTGATAATATCAAATGCCTGGCACACGAGAAGTAGTATTAGCTAAATATGAAAATAATTATCAACGATTTATATTAATATTAAAATTACCCACCTCAAAACAGATTCATTCCTTTTTGAGAAATCTTTGCAGAGAAGCAAGGAAAAGCATCCTATCACTTGACATCTGACTAGGAAAACATTCATTCCTTTTCTTTGGCCTAAAGGTATATGCAAGTCCTGGTTGCACATATGACTACATTGTGAGATGGACTACCTGATAGTGATGTGCAGGTTTGGCATTGGTCACTAAACATGAATGCTGCAAATCTATCCATGTAGAGAGTACAGCCAACAGGAGGCAATATTACATCAATCTCTTTTTGTTGTTGTTCTGTATCATCGAGTTGGAGTTAACCTGACCCACCAGCAAGTTTTCAGAGGCAGTAAATGGCACATGAGAGGACTGCCCATCTTTCTCCTATGGAGCAGCTGGTAGAGTTGAACCTCCTATCTTTGGATTGGCAGCACAATTCCTTACCACCGAGCCACCTGAATTCCCTATACATCTCTTAGCCATCAACAAATCCTCTAAGGAAATGGATTCCTTGTCCTGGGACTACTGGACCATAATCTTTGGGGATATCAAGATCAACTGGCATAACATAATCTATAAGGATAATGTTCTACAATGTGTATTGGTTAGTAATGACTGGAGATATAAAAGTTTGCAAGCAGCTAATCTAAAGTGTAATCATGAGTCTCTGCCTGTCTGGAACCAAGAAGAGTGACGGAAATCAAAGATGCATTAGCCCATAGCACTAGTGGTGATCCTTAAGCTCCATGGCCCTGAGACCGTAATAACCGATGGTGCCAAGTTACCACTACTAACCCCTCTGAAAGCAATTATCATAGAAGGCCCTGGATAGAGCAGCCTATAAACGTAGAACAAAACTCAAAACCACGACACTGGCCAGGCTTACTGGTGTAACACAGAATACTACAGCTCTTGGCTTTTCTTTTTGAGCCTGGAACTGAACTCACCCCTGTGTCATACCCAAGACATTTTTGTAAAACAGATTTTCTTTTAAAAAAAGAGACTGAGCAGTGCTTCAGATTAAACTTCTTTAGACATCCCATAACCATGTCATGTTCAAATGATTTTACTGTTCTCCATTCCCTCTAGAGGCTTACCATTAGATGTAGGTGTCAGGGTTTTGTTTTTTTATCAACACATCTATCTATGGTCAACTGATCTTTGACAAGGAGATGAAATCAGTGAAGTGGGGGAACGACAGCCTTTTTAAGAAATGGTGTTGGCAAAATTGGAAAAATATCTGCAAAAGACTCAAGCAAGACCCACACCTCACTCCATACACAAAAA